ATTTTGACCCCCCAGCCTGAGTGATGGAACGTTGGCCAAATTGTTGGGAGGGAAGCACAACAGCCACTCGGTCTTGTTCCACATCAGATTTCTGTTCCTCTCCACTGAAAATAGTATATTTCAGATAGCATATGAAACAATTGGCAGTTTGGGATACAAAGTCTTACATTTCAACAGTGTAGCAACTTTCTATTAGATTTGATGTACATCTCATCCGTAACTGTACATGCATCACCTTATGTCAGCAATTTACTGACTTCTGTTGTGTGCATGCACATATTTTTGGTTTTCATTTAATGTTAAATAAGCAATTTATTAAAGGTAAAGGTAAAGATTCCCCTCACACATATGTGCTAATTGTTCCTGACTCTAGGGGGCAGTGCTCATCTCCATTTCAAAGTCTAAGAGCCAATGTTATCAGAAGACTTCTCCATGGTCATGTGGCTGGCATGAATAAACATCAAAGGCGCACGAACACTGTTACCTTCCCATTAAAGGTGGTTACTAATTTTCTACTTTCATTTTTACATGCTTTCGAACTGCTAGGTTGGCAGAAACTGGGACAAGTAATGGGAGCTCACTCCGTTATGCAGTGCTAGGGATTCGAACCGCCGAACTGCTGACCTTTCTGATTGACAAGCTCAGCATCTTAGACACTGAGCCACCATGTCCCAATTAAATTCCTTGTATTCATTGTATGCACCCAAATCCTACAGTACAAAACCATCTGTTCCTCTTTGTCTTATAAATACAACCTTATTGATACTCAAGGAGAGCCTGCTATAATTTCAGTACAGGACATTTAGTAACTGCTATGTCATCAAGGACTTATTCACCTACTTGTAAGAAACTAAGTGGAAGAAAATGAAGTGTGGACTTCTAATATGCTTCCATTTCTGTAAAAAAAAATCAATTTTAACAAGCCCAGTCTATAAGTGAAAAATGAATGCCTGACCTTGAAGAACACTTTTTGCAAATTCCTAATAGAATTTTAGAAAACAGAGTACTTTATGCAAACAGAAACATCATCTCTAATGCAGGAACTTATTGAACAAAAACATGATGTTCTTCTGGATGATTTACTGAAAACTGAAATTTCCACTGATAATTTGCTATCTGAAAAAATAGATGCAGAAGACCAAGTAAAACTCTACAGAAAGGTTATTTTAAAAGCTTGTTTATATTTTTCTTCTGCTTTCTATGAAAGTGAATGATATTGTACAGAACTATAACTCACTTCCTAAGGTTTGGTTTAATTCACTGATGAAATAATAGTATATAAACAAATGCAAAAGCTATTAACTTGTCTCTGAATACTTGGCGCTCTCACTAGAAACACGCAGATCATAATACAGTTTTCTCAAATGTCACTTCCAGCTCCACAATATATAATTATTTAACAAGTTCTATAGCCACCATCCATTGATAAATTCCAGGGAATATTCTGCAAAATAGTCTTTTTGCATATCACTATGTGAAGTAAGAGTATTTCCTAGAGTTTTATAGCAGAACCTGGATGCAATTGTATAAAGCAAGAGGATCAGAGATGGTATTCAGCAGGTTCTGACCAGTTCTGGAGAACAGGTAGTGGAAATTTTGATTAGTTCAGAGAACCAGTAAATACCACCTTTGACCTCGAGTCCCAGCTGATCGGGAGGAAATGGGAATTTTGTAGTATCCTTCCCCTAGAATGGGGAGGAAATGGAAATTTTACAGTATCCTTCCCCTGCCACACCCACCAAGCATGCCCACTAAGCCATGCCATGTCTACCAAGCCATGCCCACAGAATCGGTAGTAAAAAAATTTGAATTCCATCACTGCAGAGGATGAAATCAGAGGCGTCTTGAAAAATCAATCCACTAATTGCAGAATTTTAATAGGGGGCTAACTCGAAAGCAATGTTTATGACTTTGCAGCAGTGACGTGCAGTCAGGTGAGGCAAGTGAGGCACAGCCTCACCTCTCATCATGAAAAGAAAAAAATGTGAAAGGAAAAAATAAATTCAATGATTGTATTTATTTACTTAGTACTATAAAGTTATTTTCCATTTAACTTCACCAGTTTTACATTATTTGGTATTAAAATGGCAGAATTTTCACATTTACCATTCAACTAGTCAGCGAGAGCTGAGGTGAGGCTGAGCTAGCTGCTGCCTCACTGTGGATGACTCTGCTTAACTGTTTTACATGATCTGTAATGAGACCGTATTGCTGTCTCTCTGTATGTCGCTTTTAATAGTTTAGCTAAATATATAATATAAAATATATAAAATATAAAATGGAGTGCTTTTTTGTCAACAACTATGTGTGGAATGTGTTTCTTGTGCTGAGCGATCATAAAACACCTAAAAAGTCAGACTGTATGAGGCATGCAGTTCTCCTGCCTCATAGTAGAGGGTGCTCATTCTTCCTGTGACTCAGCGGCAGCAGAGTAAGTGACAGCCACAGTGCATGACAACATCAAGGATGACTTTCTTCTCTGGCTGTGATCGGCATCAAGACAGAGAGACTTTTAAAACTAAAAGAAGACAATGAAAAATTCTACCAACAAGTTATAGATGCTNTCTTTGAAAGTCTCCATAAGGCTATGCCATTTTAGTGAAGGGGGTGGAGCATTGGGAGGCAAAAAAAATGCTGTATTCGATGTATAAGACACACCCAGATTTTCAGTCTCTTTTGAGGAAAAAAGATGCATCTTATACGTCGAAAAATACGGTACATCTTAAGCAATGCCAGTACAAATTTTGAGCAGTTCATGAATTATCTAGAGAGGATATTGGATCGAGAAAAATTAAATCTTTGGCTCAATTAATTAATTGGAAATAAAAAAATGGTGCTTGAAGTGGATGAAATATATAGAGTAAACTCTAGAATTGCCACCATAAGAAAACCACCAAGAGATATCTTAGTCTACATTGTAAGAATAAGAAACTACTTTTTGAATTGCCATTTCAAATCTAAATTGACAATACGTGAATATAAGTTGAAAAAGGGTAAAATATCTGATATTTATACTCACAAATATCAATTCTAAATTGCTTCAAAATATCTTTGTGCTTGTTTGGGATGATGTTAAAAAGGATTTATTAAGATGGGACTATCCTTATTGGGTAGAATCTCTAATTAGGATGAATGTTACAGAATCTTTCATTCTGTAATTCTGAATGAATTACAGAATGAAAGATGCCTTTTTGTTTCAGATTCTACCAATATTTATAACTGTTATTAAATCTAAACAATGGCAAATTGATACTCTAAATTATATGGCAAGGGGGGAAAAACCAAGAATTAGATATTGATTATTGCAAGGTGCAATAATCAATTGGAAAGAGGAAAAGGGTGGCTCAGTGGTTCGAATCCCTAGTGCCATGTAAAAGAGTGAGCTCCCATTACTTGTCCCAGCTTCTGCCAGCCTAGCATGTAAAAATGCAAGTAGAAAAATAGGAACCACTTTTGGTGGGAAGGTAGCAGCATTCCATGCACCTTCGGCATTTAGTCATGCCGGCCACATGACCACGGAGACGTCTTCAGACAGCGCTGGCTCTTCGGCTTTCAAACTGAGATGAGCACCACCCTCTAGAGTCAATAACAACTAGCACATATGTGCGAGGGGAACCTTTATCTTTTAAGGAAAGAGGAAGTTTGGGTTTACCAGATTTGAAACTGTATTTTGATGCCTATTGTTTGGTCTGCCTAAAAGAATGGGTGACTCTCCAAAATAAGAAGTTACTTGAGCTGGAGCCATGAATTTAGATTTGGATGGCATACTTATTTATATTATGATAAGGTTAAAATAAATGCTGATTTCAACAACCACTTTGTTCAACGCTCCTTCCTAAAGAGTTCAGAATAAATATAAAGTTCTCTGCAAATATTATTTTTTTATATAAAAGAAATGGTGGAAAGGCCAAACTGGTGGACTTATGGTCAAATAATATTTTTCAATTATGGTGACCTTGTCCTCAAATCTGAAGAGGAGTTGGAATTAGAAGGACGTATTTGCCATTGGTTTACATATATACAATTGAAAGAAAGGTTTAAACTAGATTTAATAAACCTATGGATTTTGTAAAATGTGAACTAAAATTTTTATTGTGTGTTAGTGATAAATATTTTATTGCTAAGGTTTATCAATTGCTAGTGAAATTGAACATGCAGAATGAGTATATAAAAGCACTGTACGACTCAGTATATAATATACTGATATAATATAAGGCTTGAACAATGGGAAAATATGTGGACAAAAGGTTTAAAATTTACATTAAATTATAATTTTTAAAATGTTTATAAGATGATGGTGGTGTTGGTGTCTAACACTGGACAAATTGTGAAAAATGTATAAAGGTACTTCAAATGAATGTTGGAAAAGTAAACGTAAAGAAGGAACTTTTACCATTTATGGTGGACATGTAACAAATCAAAGAAATGGAGTAGGATTCACATTTTAATATAGAAAATTTAAATGAATATAAAGATAAATCCAGAGTGTTTTCTTTTGGGCTTAATGAATAAAGAATTTGGGGGGAAAATTGGAACTTTGATGCTATATATTCTGACAGCAGCAAGAATACTCTATGTAAAAAAATGGAAGGATACTTTGATTCTCACAATGAACAAATAGCTGCAAAAGTTGACGGAGTTAGCAGAAATAACTAAATTGACTGTTTTGGTTTAAGAAAAGAATACAATTCATTTTGTTTCTACTTCAAAACCACTTTTGGACTTTGTGCTTAAGGGTGGAAAAAAATGAAACTTTGATTTGCTGATTAGATATTGTTATTATAGAAATGGCTAGCATATATTAAGTAAAAGAAAAATACAATCCATATGTGTTTATCAAGAGAGAACTGTAATTTTTTGGACTTTTCTCTGCAGGCTTATTGGACAGGTCCTGATAGAATCCGACAGCAGGGATCCTGCGGAGGTACTGGGGACAAGCGAGATATTGAGAGCATTAGCGTTGCCCGTGAAGGATGAATTTGACAAAGTAATAGAACTGATACTTGAAGTACTCAGTTATTCAGATATAACACTAGAGTCAATATGGTAATATTTTTTTTACTTTCAGTTTGATATGCACAACTCTCTTTTAACAGTTACATATCGAAAGAAAGGCAAATCAGTTGTCATACATAATCATATTTTCTTCAGTTCTATTGTAAAATTCATTCTTGTTTTTCAAGAAATGTAATTTTTCAGTATATTCTCTGCAGGTATTTGCTGCATACATTGATACATTTCCTGTTAAATTTCTTCGACACTCAGTTCCCAGAATTACTCAGAAAGAACCAGACGTTGGGAGAGTTAGAGTTGTTGTCCAAAAACCCAGATGACAAAGCAGTGAAATTGTTTCTTGGGGGGCTCAAAGATTTCGATTGTAAAATAGAGTTGATAGTGTAAGTAATTGGTTTCTTATTTTCAGTTTAATGTGTACATTTGTCTCTAAATGATTAATATTCTGGAACTATATTCAGGAAGAGGCAGTTCAGTTACTGTACATAAATCATATTCTCTTCAGTTCCCATAAGAATATAATCCATTCTTGTTTTTCCAAGAAATAATTATAATCTTTGAACTCTTATCTGCAGGCTTACTATACAGTTTCTGAGTACATCTTGCATTAAGCATCTTGCAGAACTTCTCAAGAAAAAACGGAGATTTAGAGACTTAGATTCATTGGTGAACAAAACTGTTGACAAAGTATTAGAACTGCTCCTTGAGGAATTCAAAGACCCAGAATACACAAAAGAGGCAGCATGGTAACTTATTATTTTTCCTTTCAGATGAAGGTATATAACATTCTCTTAACAGTTAATATTCTGGAAATATATCCAGAGAGAGGCAGTTTAGTTGTCATACTTATTCTTTTCAATTCCTACAACACAGTCCATGCTTGTTTTTCAAGAGTTAATTGTAATTTTTCTGATTCATCCCTGCAGGGATGTTGGATACTTCCCGAATGAATGCTGCAGCAATTTACTTGAACTAGTTAGGGAAAATCATGGATTTAGAGAAGTGCAAAAGTTACTGAAGAATGCAATTGCCAAATTCATAGAACTGCTGTTTGAGGTGTTCAAAGATCCAGAATGTACAAAAGAAAGAGTACAGTAAGTTATTTTCCCCTTTCAGTTCAAGATACACAAACTTTTCTTAATGATGAATATTTTGGAAATATATCCAGAGAGTGGCAGTTTAATTGTCATACATAATCATATTCTCTTCAGTTTCTACAATAACCGATGCTTGTTTTTCAAGAATTAATTGTAATTTTTCTGACTCTTCCGTGCAGGAATGTTGGACAATTCCTGAATGAATTCTGCAGTGTTTTACATAAGGGATTCAGCAAACATCAGGAACGGAATGAAATGGAGTTATTCCTGAACAGCATAAATGACCAAACAATGAAATTACTGTGTGAGGGGCTCAAAGATCCAGAATGTAAAATAGAGACCCTACGGTAAATGACTGGTTTTTTTTCCTTCCGTTTCATCTGCAAAACTGTCCTTTGATGGTTAATATGCTGGAGGTATATTCAGGGGGAGGCAGTTTCAATGCCATACGTATTCATATTCTCTTCAATTTCTGCAAGAAGACAGTCCATGCTTGTTTTCAAGAGATAATTGTAATATTTCAAACTCTCCTCTGCAGACTTCTTGGAAAAATCCCAAATGAATATTGCAGCAGGCTTTTTGTAGAGGTACTGAAGAAAAACCAGAGATTGAGAGTGTTAATGTTGTCCCTCAAGAATTCAGATGACACAGCAATGGAACAGCTGTATGATGGACTCAAACATTCAGAATGTACAATTGAGTCACTACAGTGAGTGATGTTTTTCCTTTCACTTTGATCTATGCAACTGTCTTTTAGATGGTTAATGTTCTGGAAAGCATATCCAGAGAGAGGCAGTACAATTGCAATACATAATCATATTCCCTATAGTTCCTATATAAGAATATAGTCCGTGTTTGTTTTTCAACAAAATAATTGTAAGTTTCTGAACAAATCACTGCAGGGTAGCCAGAAAGATCCTGACTAAATCCTGTAGCAGGCATCTTGCAGAAGTACTCAAGAAAACCCAGAGATTGGAAGAGTGTTAGAATGCAGATGACAGAATACTGCAAATCCTTTTTGAGGAGCTCACACATCCAGAAAATAAAATAGAGACACTACAGTAAACCCCTTAGTCCTTCTCCATCCTGTTTCATTTATGAACTGTGTCCTATTCTGAAATTTACAGATTGGTGCCTCCTGCAGCCACCAACAATTAGACATATTAATCCTCAGGATGTCATAAGATCCAGTTTTAAAACTATCTCTTGCAGCTTCCTACATCTCAATAACAAAGGCAGTGGGGATTCTAAATTTTCCTGTGATGAAAAGAGCAGTATACAACATTGTGGTAAAAGTAAATTAAAATATCATCAGCATAATTATACTATATGGGAAAAGATGGGGTCAAACATCACAGTCAAAACATGACATCAAATATTGGGATGTGGCAAGGAGAAGAAGAGAGGAAGAAACTGAAGATATGAATGACCCCAAGAGCTCCACAATCATAAAGAAAAGTATCAAATAAGAATACAAGAAAAGATGGAGGAGCAAAGGGAAGATCAACTAAGGTATAAGTGACAAACACTAAGTAGTGAGAGAGTTCCTCAATGTAACAATACCCACCTATAACAAGAAGACTCCAACAAAGTAAGAGCAAAGCAAAGTGCAGGATTTTTGCAGTGTAGAATTTCTGCTGAAACTGGTGCCATGGTCAAAATCTTCCCTCACTGTCATGCATTCCTATTCTTTGGAAAAGGCACCAATTTCTACTATATGAAGGGAGAGGTCAGGATAAGCCTTTTGCAATTTCTACCTAAAGAACTCTCAATTTATATAGAGTTAGTGAACCTATTGAGAACAAGTTCAGGAAGAAAATCAAGATGACACAATTGCCTCTTCCCAATGAAAAAAAAAAGTCCTTCCAATGAGGAATGGATGGAATCCATCTCTAATTACTACATTGGACATACCAGACACCAACCAGCTAGTTCAATTTATTCAAATCTATTTCATGGATCCTCAAGAGAGTGTAGAATTGATAATGGGTATATTCTACAATGTTGGAATTTAACATGAGATTGTTGAATTATTGGAGAAGCTACTACGACAATGAAACCCATTGTGTCCCTTTGACTTACAAAAGAATAATTTTGAGATGCTTCCATTGTAATTGATCCTGACTGGAGATTAGCATTTGAACATGAGAAAAGATTTAATGCCTCAATTGCCAATGAAGACACTAACATTATACCAATCAACACGGAAACTGAACCAACATCATGGCACATTATGTTGAATGAGAAGATGGTTTCCAAATTAAAGTTATTTTAAGGAAGAACTTGAATCTTCCAAGGTTTTACAGTGGAATGCAGGTGATTATGAAAGAACTCCACAAGATGTCACTGTAACAAAACTAAAGATTGGTGTATTTAAAAATGATATGATTCCAAGACTTATGCTCAATTTATCTGAAGATTAACATGTGCCTCTTCAGTGGACACAGTTCCTAATACAGTCATGCTTTGTTTTCACTGTATGTAAAGATGAAGGACAAATCATAGAGCATGTGGTGGTTTACCTGGAGAAACCAATATTTCAACATGATCAGCTATACATCACTTTAAGAAGAGGAAAAAGAAGTGAAAAACTAAGAATATCCTTAAAGAATGGCAAATCAACTAGAAATGTTATCAAATTTGTGCTTTACTAAATGAAAAGCATCTATG